AAAAAAATTAACTTAGAAGGACCTTCAAAAAAAAAAAACTTAAGAGAATTTTGTTGTGCAGTTTATATGTGATGTATAGTAATCATTGTCAAATACGAATATACGATACATAAAAAAATATCATTATCTATCAATATATAATAATCTTAATTAATATCTAAATGAGATAAACTTTATCAAAAAGGGAAATTTGTTTATTTTAAAATCCTATTGCCGCGTGAGTTGAAACATCATTGTACCAAAAAAGCATGACATTATCATCACCCAAAAAAAAAAAAACAAAAACAAAAAACAAAAAAACATGACACTAAACATTATTGTATTTATAATTAATTGATTGTTAGTTATAAGACTGCCATATATTGGAGACGGATTTGCATAGCTTATTTATTTATTTATTTATTTTTGAGTACTATCAACTCTACCTATTACAATGTAATATTTGTTCAACATACTTTCTCTATCAATTATAATCCAAAGAGTTAATGATCCACCACTACTTTACTAGAGTTTGATCCTGACTTTCCCTCAAAGAGAGCTACAGAAGTGTGACAGCATAGCTTATTTTAAAATTCCTTTTGACAGTTCATCAATACCATTTAAGCACATAGGATTGTTACGTTGTTGAAATGGGAATACATTATTTATTTGTTTTGTTGGAATATATTTTAATTGAAAAACATAAGGTTAGTTTATTACCAGTGGCTACCACCTAGGGAGTTGACGCCGACTATCAACATAAATTAAAATTTCAATTATAATCAATTGATAAGTTCATAAATTAATTTGTTATGTTGAGGTCATTGATATGAGGCCAAAGTCAATTTTCGTATGCAGTAATTTTGCCTAAAGTAATTTATCCTTATTATTTGTTGTCAATTTTATTCTGATTTTATTATTTAAAGATAAATATGATTATTTATAGGTTCAAATTTAGTCGTTCAGCTTTTTATAAAGACAAAACTTAATCCAAAATGTTAAAAATACCTTCATATGCATGCAAAATAGTTGAGTTTGGGGACGTATTTACAAATCGGGGCATTTTTGGACATTTTGCACTAAATGTCATTAATTTGAAATAGCCGAGGTATTAAATTTTATCAAATTAATAATTAAGAATCAAAACTCATTCAAAAGCCATAAAAAAAATATCATTTTAGCTAAACGACCAAAAGTGATATCGCCCAATATTCAAATTTACAACCTTTAGCATGCTTTTGATGATACAAATCATTTCTACAACTAAAGGCTCAAATTATTAATAAAAGTATACATTGTCCAGGACCTTGTGGTCAAGTGGTATCAGTTTTTTTCTTTTAAATTTAGATATCAAAGGATTGATCCTTGACCCAATCTTTTGTTGTTGTTGGTTTTTTTTTTTTTTAAATAATAATTATTTTTACAAGATGATTTAGATGAGGCAACTTATATTTAGGAGTTCATTACAAAATTTAGAAGCGTTTAAACAAAAGAAAAGAAGGATATATATGTAGACGTATATGGCATGGATTATTTAAGAAGAAAATCAAATCAAAGATAGGCCAAATATATGAATATATATGATTAAAGAAAGATGATGAGGAATGAAATTGCAGCTTCCAATTCATTTCAGTTAACTAATTAATTAATATGTTGACTTGTTGGGCAGAAGCAGTTGCAACTGTGCAAGACAGGCAACTAACAGTTTGAGGGACGACAAAACATATTATTAAAAGGAATTGATGTTGGGAATCCATAAAGATAATCTACTATATTAATGCAGGTTTGTGTGTTGTGTTGTACTGTTGTGTTGTGTAAAGCAATGGTTAAACTAATACAGAAAGATCAGAGTTAGAAAAGGGTATTTAATTGTATATATATATGATATGATGATTCAGAGGAGACAGTTTGACCCACAAATTTTCTTTATTTTGCCACACATTTCACATCATCGATCTGATCTACTGCAACATATAAAATTAAAATGTCAGCTAATCCGCATTAGCCCTTAAGCATTTATCCACCCAAACCCTACTCTAATATCCGATTAGAACTGGTTGAAGAAATTTTTGCATTAAAAAAATGTTATGTATACTTTTTATTTTTGTGTGCAATAAATTCTGGTTTTATTATTAGGAAAGAAATAAATAGTTAATAATCATTTCATTTGTCTTGAAAGGGATGGTCAAGTGAGTGGAGTATGGTTCTTGAACTTAAATATTATAAGTTCAATTCTTACCAACACATCTTCGTTGAGTTTGTTACACTGGATATTTCTAGTACAATCTACATCTCATGCGTGTGGTTTTAGATAATTACATAAAAGTGAGGTTTACATAGTGCACACCCTCGATGATTACTTTTGTTGTATATATATACATACAATTACATTGCGCCATTCACATACACCGCTGAGACACGAGACAATCTCTCATAACGTACATTGATCGCTTTAGAATGGCTGGCCAATTTGTTCTTACATCTCAAGTGAACCCTGATTTAACGACCAAAGCAATTAGGCTCCGCTTGGTGCGAACATATGCAGTACTTGAAAACAATAAAACAAAGGGCGTCAAGAGTATAGAATGATTATTTCATGATGAAAAGGTTAGTGGTAAATAAATAAGAGATTTGTACCTTTTTTTTTGTTTAATGTTATTCTGAATTTTTTCTTGATTATGAATATAAGGTACTTTTATACACGCTCACATATCTAGAAATATACCATTAAGTTTAAGGAGGGCAAGGTATATGGCATAAAAACTTTCTTTGTATCACCAATTTCTTCAAATATAAGACCAATTTGTACCGTTATATCATCAAGTTTAAACATGATATTTTAGTTAAGGAGTACAAGAATCTTGATTTTCTTAATCAAGTGTTTTGTATTAAGTCTTTTTCCTCATTGCTACTCAAACAAGATGTTGATGAGAAGGTGTTAATAGCTATGTTATTATATTATTGTTATTCGAATTTATATATAATTCTAATTCTAATTAGGCATGTTTAGATTATTAGTTATTCAAATTTTTAGTTATTTATGTATAATTCTAATTGTATTTCTAATTAGGCATGTTTATCTTTAGATGTGATTGGCATTTGGCAAAGTAGTTAAAATCTACTCTCCTTTGGAGACAAATATTGGTGGAAATACTACTAGATTAATTGATTTTATTATGGAAGATGTAAGTACAATATATATTGTGAGTTAAACTTTGTTTTTTTCACTGTATGTATGTGTGATATGATGCATTTTCAAAATCAATTGCATTGTACTGTGTGTGATGATCATGTTGATCAACTGCTACCATATTTTAATTCTAGCTCGGTAAAGCCCCTTATACTTTTGGTTCAGCTATGCAGAGAGCTAGGATTAGTAAGGTTTTTTTTTTTTTTGTTTTTTTTTTTTTCTATCAATTGTAGTGCTTATTTTTATTAATAGATTAGATTAGATTGTAACCCGGTTTTATTTTTATTTTTATTTGAAGATGGTGAAGTTCGAATTTCCAGCTCTTTTGATACAACAAAGCTCTAGTTCAATCATAAGTCTCCGTGAGTTTGATTCTTTTAGAGGTGATGCCAGAATATATGGTTGTTAGTTATGATTGAAACAAATTCGTGAGACTTATGACTAGAGCTTTGTTGCATCAAAAGAGCTGAAAATCCGAACCTCACCATCTTCAAATAAAAATAAAAATAAAAACTGATTACAATATAATCTAATAATAAAAATAAACACTACAACTGACAAGAAAAAGGAAAACTTACTATCAAGAATCCTAGCTCTGCATAACTGAACCAAAAGTATGTGGAGCTCTACCGAGCTGGAATTAAAATATGGTAGCAGCTGATCAACATGATCATCCCACACAACAATACAATGCAGTTGATTTTCACTGAAAATGCATAATATATATCATATACAATAAAGAAAACAAAGTTTAACTCACAATATATATATATATATATATATATATATATATATATATATATATATATATATTATTGTACTTACCTTGCATCTTCCATAACAAAATCAATTAATCTAGCAACCCTTCCACCAACATTTCTCTCCAAGGGAGAGTAGATTTCTAACTACTTTGGCAATTACATCTAAAAATAAACATGCATAATTTGAAATACGATTAGATTTATACATAAATAACTATAAATTCGAATAACTAATAATCTAAAAATAGACATGCCTAATTAGAATTACAATTAGAATTATATATATATAAATATATAAATAACTATAAATTCGAATAATTAATAATCTAATAACATAGCTAAACATTCTCATCAACATCTTGTTGGAGTAGCAATAAGGAAAAAGACTTAATACGGAACACTTGATTAGGAAAATCAAGACTCTTGTACTCCTTAACCAAAGTATCATGTTTAAACTTGACGATATAACGGTGCAAACTGGTCTTACATTTGAAGAAATTGGTGATACAAAGAAAGTTTTTTTTATGCCATATACCCCCTCCTTAAACTTTACTAGTATATTTCTGGACATGCTTCTTAGATATGTGAGCATGTATAAAAGTACCCTATATTCATAACCAATAAAAGATTCAGAATAACATTAAACAAAAAAAACAATACAAATCACTTATTTAATTACCACTAACCTTTTCATCATGAAATAAGCATTCTATACTCTTGACGCCTTTTTTGTTTTATTGTTTTTAGGTACTGCATATATTCGCACCAAAGCGGAGCCTAATTGCTTTGGTCGTAAAATCAGGGTTCAGTTGAGATGCAAGAACAAATTGGCCAGCCATTCTAAAGGGATCAACATGCAATATGAGAGATTGTCTTATATCTTAGTGGTGTATATGAATGGCACAATGTAATTGTATGTATATATATACAACAAAAGTAATCATCAGGTTGTGGCTACTGCCGTGAACCTAAATAGGCCTAAAAAGTAGTAATCGTTTTCTAAGAACGGCATTTAATACAGATCAGAACTAAAACATCAATGAGATCAAATATAGCAATAAAAAAGACCAAATAGGATTAAACTCCTAATTAATATGAATGATTAAAACTGAGAAATAAATACAATAATTAATTTCAACCGATGACAAAAAAAAATTCAAAAAATTAGTAATGATTACAATCTCATCCAAATTGTTTAACTTTTCTGCCGACACGTTTTAGGCCAAATCCCATGGTTTTATTGTTCTGATGGATGTAGTAACAAGAGAAGAATGGCTAAAAGTATTGCAAACAGAAATCAGAGTTAGTACTTAGTATAAACCATTCCAAAGGCATTTTGGAAGTGCAAAAGATCACTCTAACTCAATAAGTTTTTATTAGAAATCAATCAGAGCACAAAGTGAACACTAAATACTAATCCACTTAAAAAAAAAAAAAAACATTTTATTTTTAGAGATTATCCAACTAATACAGTGTGATTAAAATCCATCCCTCCTCTCTCTCTCTCTCTCTAGGTTGCATAAATTGGAATGGTTGGATACTTATAGGAGGGCAGGTTGAACTCCAAAGAATGGATAAAACTCATGGATAGCCAGGACTATCTTTTGCCAGAGCCATTGAAATAAGTACAGAGATGCCAGTTGTGATGGCTGACCTTGTGGACTAAACAGTAGCTTTAGCACCAAGGGAAGCTTGAGCAATTTCCAGAGCCTCTTCGACAGATGATGCGCTTTGAAGTTTGGCTATGTCAATAAAAGGCTGATTCCTTGCTAGTTTAGGAAGCAGTTGGAATTCCTAAAATAAAAAGGGAAAAAAAAAAAATCAGCATGCATTCACACCGTAGGAAATCATACCTATATAGTTCAAACTTCTTGCCACCTTTTAAAACCATTATAAATTGTTCAAAACAGGAGATGCAACTTCAGGTCTGTTGACTATAGTGGCATAGACGGTTTTATATCTTGATTTTCAAATTTTGCTTCAGTATGTTCAGTAATACACTAGGGATAGGGACCATGTGGTCATTTCCTCATTTCCAGAATTATTAGAAACAATGGAACAAACTAAACATGGTTTGATCTGCCAATTCCATCTTGGGAATACACATACCTCAGGACTTCCACTTTCAAGAAGAACCCCCTTCAGTTTACCTGCAACAAAGTAGAAACATCAACAATTATTTTTTTCCTCTCTTCTATATTAAAGTGCCCCTCCACTCTAGGTGCCTGAGATTTCGAACATAAATAAATAGGAAGAGGAAAGGCACCTATGAGAACATAGAATCATCAACAAATTTTTACATAATAAATGGATGGACATGTTATCAAAACAGTACCTGAGTCGATCCAAAACGTTGCAATCTTTGGATCAAAATTCCCAATTTCAACAGTCTCACCAACTGTTAATTTGAAGTCATTTAAATTAGCACCAACCACAATATTACAAAGCATCTGGAAAAGAATCTCTGACAGTTAAAATAGCAACGACAAATCATTACCATTGTCCCCAAAAAATTGCCACCAGACTTTCCTTGGGCTTCCTTCATATTCAAAAACCCTTGAATAGAAGTACGGGAGATAATCATATCTGGATACCAGGCAGGACCACATTACTCGATCAGAAGTTCACAACCAAACAGAACTTTAATCTAGTCCATATAAAGTAGTTGTTCTGCATTTAGAATGGAACAAAAACAAACTTACGTGTGAGTGTGTGCGGTCAATAGTGATTTTACGCAATGCTGTGCTGATTTACGAGCATGATCAACATGCTCCACTCGTGCAGTTCGGTTGTAAATCTGTACGACGTCCATTAGACACAGTTGAAGCAAGAAAAATTAACTAAAACTTTTAAGTGGCAATTGAGAATGCGAACCTTCAATGGAAATGCTGCGACATCTCCAATAGCAAAAATTCCCGGTATGCTTGTTCTGAACTGACCATCAACCTGAAATGTAAGGTTTAGAGAGCATTTTTCAGGACCACAGATGCAGGACCTACAATTCCTTTAATTGAGGGGTTTATGGCATTTGATACTCAAGGACATCAGTCATCACCAAAGATGATAGAATTTGGCACTAACCTGTATTCCACCCACAGTATTATTTAAGCCAACAGTTTCAAATGGACTGACAGCAGGTTTTGCTCCAATGCCAACAACCACCTGAAGATTAAAGAACAAATAAAATGCTATCAATAATTCAGAAGCTTCTTACTTTTGGAGTGCACTCCCAACTTTGTAGTCCTTATGATGATATATGGCATGAGGAATAACAGTAATATATAATTAACTACAGATCCATTACCGTGTCTGCTTCAATGACAGATCCATCTCCAAGTTTAACCCCAGCTACACGTCCATCAGGACCACTTTCTAAATGTTTTATTGAAGCACCCTGGAAGTAATAATTCAGTTTCAAAGATAATCAGATTTTCAATCATACAAAGTAATTTCACACAAGAGTAACTATTGAAGGAAACTAAAATAGAGGAGAGAGAGAGAACCTTAACAAATTTGACACCATTTTCTGTATATAGATGTTCATACTTGTGTGCAAGGGAAGAAGTGAATAATCTAGGCAGTAGATGCTCCTCAGGGAAAATTACCTATATTTTAATAGACAATTTCCGTTAAAACGGATTAACATAAGAGTAGCCTTTAAGACGAGGTGATAAAAAAAATGATATGCTTGACATATCAATTTTATGGCAAATAGCACTAAATCACTCAAGTTTCTGGGTTGTAGGTAACAGGAAGGGTCACCAAGAATTATGCATCAAATTGATGTAGGAGTTTATGCGACTTACCATTCATCATTCCTAAAAATGACATTCTATTGTCTTATGCACATGCCTTTTTTGTCTATTTACATCATTTCATGTTCTTGTCAACTAACAGAAATTTGGATTCACATTGTTATTATGATTCATGCCTAACAAAATAAAACAGGGAACACATCAAGTGCTTACAGTTGTATCAAGTTTCCAACCAACTGCAGCTGCAGCCACTTCCATACCGATGTAGCCACCCCCAACAACTACAACCTTCTTTGCTTTCTCCTAGGGAAAAAAAAAACTGAATGGATTACAAGTTGAACAAGATTTGTATTCCAGCTTATTTGACAAAGTTTCATTTGATTATAAACTTTACTTGAATGATTTTTTCATGTACCAATGTTTCTAAAGTGTATGGGCAACAATACCAGTGAGGATATAAGTGAATCTGCATCTGCAACATCCCGAATATAGTGAACACCAGGTAATCCCCCTCCAATTTTCTCTGGGAATCTAAGACCAAGAGAGATTGAGTGTGGATTTCTTCATTAAAATTTAAAAATTTCCATTTAATATTGAAAAATGCAAAGACCAGAAAAAGTAACTAGAATACCTAGAGGCTGTACACCCAGTAGCTATAATAAGAGTTCCAAACTTGAGCAATTTTCCAGAATTTGTTGTCAAAGTCTGTTTTTCTATATCAATGCCTGTTACTGGATCTTCATACACCATCTGAATAAATATGAATTCTGTTACCATTACATGATAGACCATAGGAATGCATACACGATAAAGATAGGTAAACACCATCTCTTAACCTACATGACATATCTCAAAGATTTCGGAGAGCTGATTCTTAAGATTCTTGCCATACATAAGTAACACTATGGAAGACTTGACAACACCTAGTGATAATTTCATGGTGAGGGACTATATGTCTATACTAGTTATTTCTCATTAGTGATTCCAACTAGAGTAGGAAAACAATGTCAGTAACCTAGATATGACAATGCATCAAATAGAATACAAATAAAATTACCTCTATCCCTTGCTCTTTGTACCAGTCAGGAGTCTGTCTCTCCCCACCTGAGCCAACACAAGTATGAAAGCCCTAAATCACAAAACAATAAAATGAATCCTCAGTAAAGTCCAAATCATGTTCACTGTTGTTAACAACTTCTAACATTGATGATAAAGTGACAACACTTGAAATTAGTTCCATAGAGCAAATGAAGCTACACCAAACCAAGAAAATTGAGCTCACCGGCAAGCGTGCAGGCTTCTTATCCACAGGGAATAGATAAGCTTTTGTCAATGCTGGACGCTCATATGGAGCATATGCCTGTAATCATACACAAATCAATTCATTCTACCACAATCCACACAAGTAAAAGAAAACCACCTTGATCAAGAAATATAACAACAGAATAGCAATAATATTAATCATTAACATCTTTAAAAGCAAAGCATGATTAGAAAACCTTTCTATCAAAAAGGAGGGATGGAGTCATATTAAGTGGACTACTAAAAAAAATTTAAGTGCGCAACTCCAACTCCAGATTATAGATCAAAGTTATCAAACAAGGCCACGAAATTTCAACTTTGATCTAAAAAGAAGTCAATGATTCACCTCTTTGGAAACAATGCAAAGCTTCCCATTAGCCTGCCCATGTTCGACGAAAGTCCGAGCAGCATATCCAGCAGAGTTTCCTCCTCCAACTATCACGTATCTAGCAATTGATCATATGGAATTCAAACTCTCAATTACAACAACAATCACAACAATACAAACTAAACAGGGAAAAAAACAACAGTATAATAGTTACTCTCTATTCTCATTGGCGAAAGACGAAGAAGCAGCAACAACGAAGCTTCTCCGGAAGGTTCTGGAAGGAAGCTGAGGAGTCCGATGGAGAGAAGACGATTGCGGACACCACAGTGAGAGGCCGTGCTTCAACGGCATTGCGTTACACATAGCCGCCATTAATCTACGAACTGCAACTTGGTAAATCAGCAGATGGGAATATAGTAAGGGGTTTTGACGAGAATCGGAGAATGAAGAAAACTAGAGGTAAGCGAGACCTGAAGACATTGATGATCCAACTTAATTAATAGTTACTTAATAAAATAATTATTAAATGTGTAACAGTAACAATTGTTTAGGGTGGCTCTAAGAAGCGGTGAAGAGTCGGGCCAGCCGCGAGAGCCTATTCGTTCTGGTGATAAGACGCCATGGAACTGCACGCCAGTCGCCAGTGCTATGCTCCCAGTTTTTCTCCTCTTCATCTTTGACCTTTCGGTAGACATCTGCCATTAGCGTTTCCCCACGCAGCTCCACAGTATTCTCCTCTACTGGCCCAACTTGTATTGGGCCACAATAGTGTAAAATGTCCAGCTCTTTTGGCCCACGTAAATTTCCATCCATTGTTATATTGTAGAATGTAGATGCCAATTTATATCATGGACAAGGATCCACGTAACATTATGGACTCTAAATCGGAACGATAAAGTATAAAATTTATGCTCGTAAAATATATAATTTTATAACACAAAATACAAAAAATCACAACAAGACACATACAACTGTTATATATTTACTTATTTTTTAAATATGATTTAGGTTATTACTTATTAGGTACATAGTTTGTGTTCATAGACACGGAATTTCACAACATAAGACACATAAATTCATAACATAAGACACAATTACTAATTCATTTTAGTTGCAAAATTCATACTCTTAAAATACAGAATTTCATAACACAAGATACAAACTTCACAACATAAGACACATGCACCAATGTTCACAATAGAATGTGAACCCTGGTCCACGGTATTAAAATTGTATTGTAAACAATGGTTTACAAAGCGCATGGTGGATTATATCTAAATTACGTACCTTCAAAATTAATAAATTATATATGTATTACAAATTAATATATTATTTACAAAATTTACTTACATCAATTGTCTACCTTAACAAGTTAAATATAATCCTGGTCCATAGTATAATGATTGGGACATTTAATTATTATTTTTTTAATGAGTTAATACCCAAAATCGTCCTCCACTATAGTGGTTTTTCTCAATTTCGTCCTAAACGACTTTGGTGACCTAATATCGTCCCAGACTTTTGTATTTCGCTCAATTTAGTCCCAAATTTTTGTGTTTTTGCTCAATTTAGTCCCTCATTTGTTATTCTGTCCATTTGGTGTTAAATAAATAGACAATTCAGTAATTTTAATATTGGCATCTCTTTACTCATAGACATGTGAACTGCGAAATCCCTTCTTCTTTTTTTTTTTTACGAATTACTCCAGAATTACTCCTAAAACTGCGAATATAAAATTTGATTTGTAGGTCCGGGAGTAAATCTGGGTGTAATTCGTATAAGAAAGATGAATTTCGCACTTCACAAGTTGAAAGTAAAGAGAGATCAATATTAACATTACTGAATTGTCCCTTAATACACTAATTTGACGGAATAACAAATGGAGGACTAAATTGAGCGAAACACAAAAGTCTGGGACGATATTAGGTCACCAAAGTCGTTTAGGACGAAATTGAGAAAAACCACTATAATCGAGGACAATTTTGGGTATTAACTCTTTTTTTAATTATGGAAAAAGATGTGAATGGCATATTGGCAATTTGGCATGTTGGATAATTTGTCTAAATAATTACCTATTGATGGAAATTTTAAGATAATAGTGAAAAGAAGAAAAACGCGTAAAGAATTTCAGAATTACAATTGTGCAATTCTGTTTATTTCTAACTTTCTAAGTCAGGAGGATATGGAAGAATTTGTGATCTTAATAAAAAAGAATTTTAATAATAAGATCTTAAAGGTGTGAATAACTCTAAGTACCCTACAGATTCATCAAAACAATCCTAAAAATACAGTGGGTGCAAAATTTGGAAAGCCTGTCTCAGTCTCAATATGGAACCGGGGCGGACATTTTGCCAACTTGATCAAGAACGTCCAAAACTTCAGCCCTGCTCCTCACGATCCTATGAAACACTTCTCTTACTTGTTGCTGCAATGGAAGCAGCCCGTCGTCCATTTTCCGGCAAATATCCGACATCTCCGACACCTGCATCGCCACTTCGTCCGCCTTTTCTTCCTCCAACGGGAACTGAAACGAGTCGGCGAATTCGATCAGTGACTGGGCGGCTTTCTCCATCCTTTGCACCTCTTCTAGCAGCCCGGAGACCCCTTTCTTCTCCTTCTTTTTCCACTCCTCCGCGATCTTCTCGTGAAGCCCGATCATGGCTTGCGCCCAGGTGAGCTGCCGGGGGACGGGGAAATGGGTGGAGAGCCCGGTTCTTTCCTGGCAGGGGATCGCGGCCACCAGCGCCCACATTACGAACACGAGGACCGTGCTCATGATGTAGACCGGCAGCGCCGTGGTCTCGCCGCCGCGCGGCGCCACGAGATTGGAGGACATGGCTTGGATCTGTTTGGCGGCGGACCAGGACTTGGCGACGGACCACGACAGCGACCGGAAACTCCCGGCGGCTCTGTCCTTGTTGGTAGAACCGCCGCCGCCGCGGCGGCCGAACGACCAGCTCCGCTCCGAGAGTTTCCCGTGGCTCGCGTTGTTCTCCTTGTCGTCGAGCGTCATCGACGTCATCAGCGTATTCAACGCCTTCTTGGCGCGCCGAACTTGCCCGTCCCCCAACGGCTTCTGCTCCAGAGACGTGACGGCGATCTGCGCCAGCTTCTGCCAGTGCCGGACCAGCTCCACGCCGTGACTAACGGCGTTACAAATGTCGAGCGCCTTAACGGAGCGGTCAAGGATATCCGGGATGAGCCGATCGAGCGGCGGCTTCGAGAACTGCAACGGGTCACGCCCGATAAGAACCACCGCTTTAAACTCGGCCTCGCAGAGGAGGAACGCGTCTAGAAGTTTCCTGAACCAGGAGATGGAGAGGAGCGGCGCGTGGTCGCACGCCGGCGAATCAGCCACGTCGCCGTCGCCTGCGCCGCCGGTTTTGGGTAGGAGCTCGGAGAACCGGTCGGCGACGTGTTTCTGGAAGAATTCGAGATCTTCGAGCTCTTGGTCATGGTTGTTGCTTTCGACGGATACCACCTGGTTGCGGCGGATGCTGATGCGGTTCAAGAACGAACCTTGATCCGTCATGGTTAACTAACGTTGTTGTTGGGTGGAGAATTCAGTTAAGAATTTTGTGATTTGTGAGGAGAGAGAACTAACATTAGAGCGCGTAGAAGGTACTGGGAATATATTGGGGAAGAAGAAAGAGCGTTTATTATTCAGAGCGCGTAGAGGAAGTTATAATATATATGGTTGGGTGGTTAATCAGTTTAAGGTTGTCGGAAAAAAAGAAGACCGTTTCTCGTTGCTTGCCTTTGGTCCACTCTTGAACGATAGATGCGCACACTTCTTCTTTGTCTGCCAGAATTGCCCTTCTCCCTTTGCCAACTACATTACCAGTTTACCACCAGTCCACCAGCGTCGAATTCTTTAAAATTTAAAAAATTATATTTTTTCTATTTGGTTGATTTTTATTTATTTTTAAACATGAACATATATCTATTAAAAGTTATTTCTTTTAAAAGATTACTAATTCTAATTATTATTATTATCATTATGATTACTATTATTTTTAAAATAAAATCATAAATTAAAATTTATAAAGGTATAAAGATTAATAATTATTATAATAAAAAGATGTAATAAATATTTTTAACTTGTAACTTATTATGATAAAAATAAATACATAAATTGACAAAAATAATAATTTTAATGTTTTGGGTTATGGGTCAAGCCAATCCATGTTAAGAATTTTATTATTTGGCACAACATGATTGTCCACTTTCCAAGGTGGACACGGTTCCAAAACTGTTCACAATTATGAATATATAGTTCAAAAATTATGAACATATAGTTCTATAATTATGAACATAGAGTTGTGAACATAATTACGAACATATAGTTCTGTAATTATAAATATAGAGATTTAATTGTGAATATGAAGTTAAAAAAATTATGAACATATAACTCTATAATTATGAACATATAGTTTAGTAATTATGAACATGTAGTTCTGTAATTGTGAATATAGAGTTCAATAATTATGAATATGAAGTTCAAAAATTATTAATATATAGCTTTATAATTATGAACATATAGTTCAGTAATTATGAAGATAGAACCGTGTCCGCCTTGCAAGGTGGACACGATTCCACAGCATAACGATTGATGATTAGACTCATATTTTAACCGAACGAGCGTTCAATCCATAACTAGACAGATGTTGGGCCAACTCACCAATTTGACACCACTCAAAGAGAAATAGAGAGAAAATTGAGCATGAGATACGAATTTGAAAAAAAAATCATACTTATAATAATCTTGGAATACATTTTCCGCTAAAATGAGTCATTTTTCGTATAACCAGGATGAGTATTTTTTGTTGACTCCATTTTTCATTAATAGCAAAAATACTAAAAAAAAAAAAAACTCACAAAATAACTTTTGAAATGCATTTTTCAAGTTCCCAAACAAACCATTAGTATATTTTTAGAGATCAAAATGTTATTAGTGAGAATTAAAGTCACACATGTATGAGACGGGTCGAATATATGATAGTTGTTTGTTACTTATTATATAAATCATAATAATTAATATAGAAAATTTAATACGAATTTGAAATAAATAAACTCTTATTTATAATAAATATTATAATAATATTTATATGTGAAATTGCGATACTATTTAGGCCGGGTAAAATGATTGTTACTAATGATAAATATTGTAATACTTATAAACTAAAATTGTAATATTTACAAAGTGTAATTCTAATGTAAATATTGTAATACTTATTATAGAAAATTTAATACCAATTTAAATTAAAAATAAATTGTTACTTATGATAGATATTGTAATACTTGTATGTTAAATTGTGATACTATTTATGTTAAAATTGATTATTACTAATGATGGATGTTATAATACTTATTGTTATAGTTACGTACACACCCAGTTGTTTACAATCTAGCTCATCTCACGGACACTCTTACATAGGTTTTTGCCTTTATATAAATTTGACATACCAAGCTTAAAAGCTAGTTTAAACCTAGAAGCTTAAAAGCTAATAGCAGGTACTAGCTAATAGCATTTCAAAATAAGTTTTTCTTTTTAATACACTCTAACCTAGTTATAGCATCTCCCACTTGATTAGGATGAGATTCAAACATAATACCTTCCTTATGGAAAGCAATAGAGATCCCATCAAACCACAATGTATTTCAATTCACTTAAAATAAGTTATT